TACGCAGTGGGTTACAGACATCTACAGTTTACTGACATTATATCAGGTTCTCACAGATATATGTCTAAATTAAATACTGGGGGCTCAAACTAACTTTGGCATTGCAGGTTCCAAAATTCTTCCTGGAATAACTGCAAAAAATCAACCTGAATGTTCATATTCAAACCACTGTCATGGACAAACTGTGCATATGCTGGTACTAATAAACACATAATATATGTAATACTGTACATTCCTACTGGATCCACTATAGATCACAGTGTTAGAGGTCTCTTTAAATCTATGTTAATCTGTGATTTATTTTAGCCCCTAGGTACATGTTGTCATTGGCGGAGGTCCGAGCTGTGGCTCAGATGCCCAATCCTCTCAATTGTGGTGAAACTTCTCCAGCCAGTCCAGCAGGAAGTCCAGCTCTCCGATGGCCTTCACTGATGCAACCTTGATATTCATCTGTATCACAACAGTAGGCAAACTGTTATCTTTTGTGGAGGACAGAGACCACTCTTGTCCTGTCTGAACAGAATGGCTCTCTCTACTTTCTGCTCATCCAGAACTCAGGGACTTCAAAGAGAGTTCTCAAGCTTAAAGTTCTTGAATCTGGCAGATCTATTCTTTAAGATATTCCAAGTTTATCAGGCTTCATCTGGGATAAACCTTAGCTAACATTTGTGTTTAAAGCTTTTGTTTTGAACTTACCAGAAAGAATTGAATAACGAACTCAAGACTGACCACTAAGGCTTAGTTCTGGGAAAGTCTGTCACTTGTGTTTTTAGAGAAACCGTTTTCTTAAGTTCACATTAGTTCCCATCCCTCATCCTCCAATGTTGAATTTTTCTGTATCATATCAGACATTTACTTAAATACTGTTTATGCAAGTATACATGGCTGTATTTGAGGTGAGTAGGGCGACAGCTTACCTTGTCAAAGGCAGTCTGGATGGTTTTAATTTTCAGCTGGGTCTCCTCCTCACACTGGCAGTGCTTGTGAGTGTGCTACAAGTGGAAAGCAAGAAAACCATGATGTTCATGCACAGCTAATCACTAGGAATGTCAGAAACACAAAACCGGAACACAGCAGAGCTTGTCTGAGTCCTGTGAGCGTCTTCAAGTGCTGTGTGAGGGTTTCAACATGTGCACAGGTGAAGATTTACAGCTTGCGTGCACAGTGACCTAAGGAAATTCACAGATATTCGTGGTTATCTTGAGGTGTGATGGAAATGTATGGCTGCTTTTGAAGTTTGCCATGAGGCTTGGCTCTGTTCTTCTACTTGCTGTCCCTTCAGCTGCAGGCAGTTGTGTGCTGCTGTGGGGCAGACCTCTGTGCCGCTCTGTGCTTTTGCTCGAGGGGCACACTCACACACTGGCGCAGGTCTCTCTTGATGCTCAGGAAGGAGTTGGCCAGGCTGCTGGTCCTCCGGCGCACCTGAGCGCTGCTGGCGCTGTAGTGGCTGAACACGTTCTCCACGTAGAACCGCAGCAGATGGCGCAGGAAACAGCAGCTCTCGGCGGGCTGGGGGGGAAACAGGACCTCACATCACCTTCGCCAGCATAACACACCTGCCTCCTTGCTACCTTTGCACATTGGATCCCTTTTGACTCCTACATTGTACTTGAAGTACTGCTTATCCATACATTATAACAAATTGCAAGATGCTGGTTTCAAGATGGACGTGCACTGAACATTATTATCATGCGGTATGATTGCTCTATCAGGGCTGGCCTTTTCTCAGGAATGTGCCTTTCATCTCTGTGTGTATTGTCAGCCAGGCTGTGTGAAAACTCCGAAACAAGAGCGTAAGGAAAGAAGCTAGTTCAGCAAGTGTTTCTCTTGCCAGTTCTAAATTATGCAGCTAGAATATAATGCAGAAGAAGAAAGGAAAAATTATCTGCTTTTAGTTTTTTTAGTTTTTACATTTTACTTCATATGGCAAATGATGTGAATACCTGCACATTCATTGTCTGCTCCATCAGTAGCCTGACACCCATGTGGTCATCTTCCCTGACCTGTCGACACAAGCACACACGTCAGAACGTGCCGGCAGCACCATGGAGCAGTGGTTAGGGCTGTGGCCCAGAGGGGTTTTGGGTTCTAATCCCCCTACTCTGGTTACTCATGCAAATGTCCTGTTGTGTAAGGTGGGGAGGGGATGGCTCTAGGTAACTGAATAATCTGGTTCAATAAAGAATTATATTTTTAAATATGACATTAAAATTAAACATAAATGTTTGAAAAGTGCTGTCAAGTTTCACATTTGAAACTAAAGGTAGCAAATAACGGGAGTGTGTTTGCCCTGTCCTGCTCCTTCTGTTTGGATCTTGAAAAGCCCTGTTTTGAAAGATCCTAGGAAACAGTTCTCAAGTCCTCAACTGTCCTCATGGCTTGGTAACATGTTCCAGGTGTGTGCCATGACTCTGGATGCATTTTCAACCCTAAACAAACTTTTATGTCATCAGATCTTTCAGTCTTGACGTCATGCAACAGGGCCTTCATTTTACTTCTGAAGTAAGAGTTGGACAAAATTTTGGTGCTTGATGGAAGAGACCAATTTTGACCTAGTTTATCTTAGCCCAAATGATCCTGTCAGACTGGTAGCCATGCAACATTACAATATACCTATATAATTCTCCCTAGCAGAGACTCGGGCAGAGTTGCCTCAACAGTGAATTGTTCTATCGGCTGCAGACTTTTCAAGAAAGGGGTGGAAATGTGACTGTAAGGGGCTTGTCATGATGAGCTTTCTAAGGCAGCAAAGACTTCTGAGTCAATATTAAATCGTCTTCAGGGTTGTGGGAGGAGAGAAGAGTAATGTCATTGACGCACCCGACATAATGCCAGTATACCTTGCCTGCAAGTTACAGAAATATGGAGCTCTGTCTTTGAACAGTGTTTTGTATGAAAGATCTTGTATGTCTTCTGTGATGTTTAGAATAGGTTATTTTGTTTTTATAGAGCCCTATGTTTCTGTAAAAGAGAAGCATTAAGGCAAGCTGTAAGGGTTTCTTTTTGGCTTACAATAGTTTGTCGGATCTCGTTGAAGTATTCTCTCAGCTCATGGACCTGAATGTTGATGGCACAGCTGCCCAAGTGAAGTCTGTGTCCTGCAGCAGATGGGATAGACACTGCCAGCAGAACTGTGGACAACAAGCAGGATGCGAAGACACTGGTCCTCATTTCTGCACTTATGTGCGGCCTGGAAGCACAGGTAAGATCAGACACACTAAGACACAGGTAACATCAGACTGCACACTAAGTCATTGGTAACATCAGACTGCACACTAAGATACGGGTAACATCAGACTGCACACTAAGATACAGGTAAGATCAGACTGCACACTAAGATACAGGTAAGATCAGACTGCACACTAAAACACAGGTAACATCAGACTGCACACTAGGGCACAGGTAAGATCAGACTGCACACTAAGGCACAGGTAACATTGGACTGCTTTGTAAGGAACAGGTAAATACAAAACAAATTTGATCATTTAAGTCATAATTCATTTAATTTGGGGAGTACAAATAAGAACATTTCTTTCACATGTTTTAAATTACTAGCAGAAAGCCTCATGTAGAGATATTCAGGACATCGTACGTTTATTATATCCTCATGCCATTCAAAATGTTCTTGTGTGATTGCTTGGATACCAGCCTTAATTACAATATATTTGCTGTACCTTGTCTCATACAGTATATAATACATTTCTTTTCCAAAAGGTCACACACAAGTTTTTGACAGCTGCAAAATTAAATTAAAGGCAGTTCAATATTCTGTGCTTCTGTGCTATTTGAAAAAAAGTGCTTAAATACAACACATATGTTCAACAGCTCTATTTCATTATACAGATGTCAGTGTGCGAGCTCTTGAGAATTTCTAATTACTGTCCCTGAAAAACAACATGAGACAGACATTAGATTGTATGGCTACAGTGCAGTAAAGTGTCTTACCTTTCTGTGTGTGAGGTGTGTGACAGGAGTCTGGTTCTCCAGTTGCTCTGTCTATACTCCTTCTGTGGGCTTTTTATAGGGTGGAGTTTTGACAATGCTCAGCATCCAAGAGTACTCACCTGTCTGAATTCACAAAAGGAAGTAGCATCCTTCCAGTTGACAGCTAGGTGATGGGAAGGACCAGTTAGCAGAAATTCCAGGAATCTCTGTCACTGTCAAGTTTGCCAGCTGGGACATTTTGGGGTTTGCAGCTGTTTGGAGTTTTTAGAACAATTAGAAATGGTGATTTATGCAATTACACAATTCTGACAGTGAAAAAACTAGCATAACTTAATTTTTTGTACTTTTTTAAATTATTATAATATTGTGTATACACATACATAAGTGTGCAATACTGACAAATTCTTAGCCTTGTACAAAGGCAGCATTGGGGATTGTTTAGGCACTCACCGTTCGTTATAAGCAAACGGCAAAGTCCCAGTGTTCACAATGACTTCTTTTTCAGGTCCACCGTTCTCTCTGTCAAGACCTTTTAACGATTGCGTTATGCTTAATCATTTTTTTTCCCCACCCTCATTATTGTTAATATTAGATTTCCTAGTAGAGAGTATATTTCAGCCAGCGGAGAGCTAGTCCTGGAGGGGTTCTATAAGAGTATTGTGGAAAAACCGGGGGCTTAGATTTGTAAAACTATTTAAACAAAATCAGGAATTTTCTTTAACAGAATGAGAAATGTTTATCGTAATATTTGGAAGCTGGAGGGTATTTTTGTTTCATTGTCAAGATATTGCTTCAGAAGCAAACACCTCCCAGAGCACATTCCAGATGGGCATGTCCCAGTCGGAAAAAGCCCATGTCACCGTGTACAGTAGCATCAGTCAGCAACTGTCAGTGTCAGTGTTTCAGAGAAGCAACAGATCTGTCATCCTCCCACATCTAATTGAGGGAAGAGGTGGAATTCTCTTCTTTTATCCCTGTTTGTATAGCAGTAATCTTCTCTGTGACCGTTAGCATCAGGCCATGCAGGATAAGCAAGATGTAGCTACCAGACAGGGGCGTGTTACTGTTCTACTTATGAGCTGGTTGTTTGCTGCAAGTTTTTGCCATCCTTGCAGCTGCTGTCTTCTGTTCTTGCTTTGTTAACAGTCTTAAATATTTGTTATTTATTTCTAAGTATAATATTGTAATATATAATGTATAATATTTCAGATTTTAATGCAAGACTCTCTGAAATAGCGTTGTCGTGTCATGTACCAAGTCCATATGGTGAAAAGATTGTCATGCACTGAGTCTTGCACACACAAACAGTTGCGATCAGCAATTTATCACAGTAAATCACTTGCGAATTCAGAACTACACGCAAATTGGCATTTGCCAGAGATGTTTAAAGTGCACATTCACCTATTTCACTATTCTGAAGGGGACAGTGCTGGGGAGCTTCTGCTAGGCCACAGGCCAACTGTGGTGACATGAGAAGACGGGTGTCAGGCCCCTATGTCCAATTCATTTGACCATATATTTATCTGACAGGGATTCAGTGGTGTGCTAGTTAGCATGCAGCTTAACAGCTCTTGGGTTATGGGTTTGTTTCGAGCCTGGGGCAGAGCTTCTGTCATAGCTGGAAGCAAACCCTCTAAGAGAGAGGCAGTGGCGTTATTAACCATGTTACTGTGCCTCTCATCATATAAAATAGATTGCATGGATATAATATTAAACTAATATAATTAGATATTTATTAATTTGTCTGTTTTGCCATGTTCTCCAGAACTCCAGGTGGAGCACTTTGATTTTGTTTGTGCCGCAGGCCAAAACCACACAGGCAATGAGTATACAGTACGTGGCTCCAATCTTCTGAAACCAGTCTTGAATGACTGGAAGGTGTAAGTTTGTACTGAGGGTCAATACAGTTGGTAATTCTTTATAAATGTATTTTTATAATGTATTTGAAATGATTTAATTATTAAAGTATTTAAATATTTGCACTGCAACTAAAAATATTATAATTGAAGGTAGCTGGAAATTCAGTTGTTAAGAATAACGACACCGAGTATGAAAATGCGGTATGAAGGTTTATTGAAAAGTCAGGCACAAAGAGTTTTGGTTTACTGGCCACAGGACAGGAGACCAGGAGCCCCTGCAGAGTGGAAATTCTCCAAGGGGAGCTGCACGGGTGGAGGTGGGGTGAAGGAGACTTTCCTGTGACTCTGTACAGCACTCCAGGAAGTGACATCACAGAGGACCACAAGGAAGAGCAGCTGAGGTGAAGGGGAACTTGGCTACTGTCACTCCTCCTGAACTTTTGTTACAAACTCCATTGAAACAGAAGGATTTTCTTCATTTCTGGAGGACATGTTTAAAGGTGTGTGCTTTGCTTATAAATAGAATAGGGCCTGAGGCAGACATACTCAGACCACATCAGTGTTTAAATTGCAGAGTGGGAAATTTGCCATATACTTTTTTTTATCAACACTTCCTCTTTTCGGTCCCAGAAATAAGCTACTTGCGTCACAGTCCATTTCAGGTCTGTTCCTCACACGCATGTCCCAGTTCTACATGAGTCCAGGCGTGAGTCAGAGACCAGAGGAAAAACTCCAAAGCTCTTTGACAGCTGTATTTATCTCTAAAAGGAGAACCATCAAAGATGCAACAGGATGACACTGGCATTGCTGAGTGTAGCTACAGGCGACACTGGCATTGCTGACTGAAGCTAAAGGATGACATGGGCATTGCTGACTGAAGCTACAGGATGACACTGGCATTGCTAACTGGCCCATACTATCTAGAGTGTGCTCTGGGACATGCTTTCTTCTGATGCAATAACTTGACAAGGAAAAAGAAATACCCTCCAGCTTCCAAATATTACTTTTATATTTTTATTATAATATAATAAAAAATAACTTTCTAATACTGTTAAAGTAAATTCCTAAAATGTGGATTTTTGTAGTGCTTTAACAGTGATGTACTGTAACATCTAAGACTTGAACTCAGACCAAGAATGTGGGATTTGAGACTTATAGTGGCAGAGTGATGATGAAGTCTTGCATTTGCCACAAAACGCCACCATCAATCACTTGCCTGCGATTTCAGCTGTGCACATGGTGAAGCTGAATACAAATAGGTGAACAGTTACAGAGAAATATTTCTTGAACGTGATCTCAAAAGCACTACGACCTTTATATAAGAACAGTTTTAGTGAACACACGTGTACTGTACGTGTTCTTCTCAGGTTACGCAAGAATGGAACACCTGTGTCAGGACGCTGCAGGCAGTGTCTCTCTGGAGAAGAGTTTTTCCTTTCCTGTGTGCTGGTAAGCTTATGTTTAGAGGTATGGCAGGTGACCTGACATTGCTTGGAACTCTGATATTGAAACACAGAAATACACCTTCTGATGCTTAAGACGCTCACTATAAACTGACTTAATTCAGGCGTTCAAAACGGTTTCACAGTATTTCCTGCTTATTCAGGAAGTAAAATATTTATTTTTTTCCTCTCTGAATGCTGAGTCAACAGGTTTATCATAAGCAGGTGTGGTTTTAGCCCTAGAACATTACAGTTTACCTGTGGTTTTACAACTTTTCCTTGATGATGCAACCTTGACCCAAAATATGTAAATCATAATACTTGTCTTGTCCCTGGCCTTAACTGACCCCAAATTAAGCTTTTATCCTCAAAATGAGAAACATTTAAAAAAAATCAATTTCACCACATAACAGTAAAATAGATTAACAGAGCGTTCACCAGAGTACATTATAAATTAACTCACTACATCAACTTTTATTTTTTTAACTTTATTGTTTAATCCTTAGGTTCTGCACTTTCTGTTTCAAACCCAACTGCTGTTTAATTCAGTCTCTTACTTCTCTCTCTATAATGTGACCAAAATCCACTTTCTCTACAGATGCCCAGACCACCTTGATTATTAGTACAATGTCTGGAAAATTCATCCTAACAAAGGGAAAAAAAATGAAGCAGTAACATAACTAGGTTGTTTGCAGTAGCTAACATCATTTAAAATAAAATATAAAGACCCACAGCACAGCAAATGTAATCATAGCTTTTTTATTAAGATTCAAGATGTACACATTAACGTAGAAGTGTCAGATTATTACAGCAATTAAAAATGATTTTCCTTAATAGAAAACTATTTGATATGGTTGCAGCATGCTCTCTAAGTCACAAATTAAAAGTACAGTACATATTGATGAAAGCTAAATTGTGCCCAACTGAACCGTCTGTTTACAAGTGTGGCCCCCCCTTGCACTCTTCTTTTTTATCTTTCAGGAAGAGATGGGTAAGTGGAAAAGAAAAGGAGCGGGTTTCTAACAAACGCTACTTGACAGAAAGGGCTGCCACAGCCGTGTAAGTGAATCTGTGGGTAATTTATTCCTCCTTTCTTCACCTACTGACAAGTGCAAAATGTGCACAAGCTCTACAGTCCACCACAGGTCCAGACGTCCCCTGCCAAGGTGTGCTTCCGCTGGGCGCCCGGCTGCAGGTCGCGCTATATCCAGGAGCACTGCTGGGGGCGCCGTTCTCACTTGGGGCTGCGCAGGAGGGCGTTCTCTTGCCTGCCCACAGCTGCTTCTGTTCCCCACACTGTTGTAGCAACACATCTTCCTTGGAACGACGCCATCACTCGCACCTTTAACTGGAAACGGTCAAGGAAAGTGAATTTCTGCAATATTCTTCCTTCTCTAAATACCAGTGACATGCTCTTCAAACGGATGTTAGCCTTAGCAACACAAAAACCTGTTCTTCAGAGGCTGACCTCCTTGTCCCTGGAGCTGAAAGTAAAACCAAAGCCATCTTCTACCAAGGAAGTGTCATGTTAAAGCTGCCATCTCATCAGGGCTTGAACTGTTCCAATGCATTGTGTAAACACAAAACTGTTCACTTTATTCTGAATCACTCGGGCAATTTGACAAAGCAAGTTGGGGCTTTTTGCTGCCAACTGCATTTATCTGCTATTAAATGTGGTGCATCTCATTTAAATGCAAGAAAAGTGAGAACAGAGAAGGGCAATCTGTTTCTTGTGCAGAATATTCTTCTAATTCAGCAGATTTATCGTACAGCATTACATAAACATGGAATATAATATATGAAACGTTTTGTTGCATTTCTCAATTAGCAGTGGATTAAACCAAAACAGATTGGCACTTCAATTCTCATTTTATGTTTCTTATTATTTCTTCACTGACCTTTTCTGTACTTGAAAACTTGTGTACAGTAAAAATGTTTACATAGTTATGATTATTATTTAGATCTGATTTATTTTCAATATAACAGTGGTAGAATGGGATTTTAACTTCATTTACCATGAGCATGTGAGAATGTGAACTAAACCATGCAGAAACAGGAAGAGATTTACCAAAGTGGATCTTGATACTAATACATTTGTAGAGAAGGAGGAGGAATACAAAAATAGAGAATAAATCACAAAACAAGACGATGTAAATTCTCCCAGTGAATTGCTTTGTTCAAGCCTAAATGTTCTGGTTTTAATCAGTTTTTTTTAATGTTGAAAGTTTTAACTTTAATTCTACTTTTTCAAGAAGAAAAGGATTTGTATCTAGGATTCATGCTCTAGGATTTGTACGAATAACGTTTAGCTAAAAGACGTTCAGCAAAAACAGTGACCCAGCTGCACGGTATCACCGATCACAGTGATAGCTGCTTTGAAAGAAAAGAGCGATATTCTATCAGGTCCATCTTGCAGTAACACAGTGCACTCCTCTGTTGGGAATTCAAAAGCACTACAATCCTGTTTGTCACAGAATGTAAAAATGTTAAAAAAAACTATTCATTATACGTTCAGAATATTTAAAAAAAGCTACTTCTCCAAAAGCTGACAAGGCTAGCAAAACAGTTTTTGCTCTTAACGTAGAAATTAAGAATGGAACACCGGAATGGTTCTAGCTAAGATCGCATTTGGTCAGGATCCCCACAAAGGATTTTCTGGAGTTTTAATTGGAAGTTCAGTAGTAGGTCAACGCTAATCTCGCCCATTCCTACCCACCTGCATCTATATCTCCCACTTCTTTGCTCACTTGTGTGTTTGGTTTCCACATTGCTCCCTCCACTGGCTCAGCCTTCATTGAAGGAGATGGTAGTAGCAGGGGCTGGGGTTTCTGACAGCACCATCTTTTTATGGACACTCTTCTCCGCCCAGATTAGAGTTTGCACTATCCATCCATCCACTTACTATCCGCTTTATCCAAGACAAGGGCGCAGGGGAGCCGGAGCCCATACTGGCAAGCAGTGGGTACAAGGCAGGATACAGCCTGGATGGGACGCCAGTCCATCTCAGGTTTCCACAAGCTACTGAACTTCTTTTTAGTGCACTTCAAGGCATGAGGGAAGGTTAAGCTGTAGTAGTTTTCTTGCATTGTATTTTTTTTAAAACGCCATAGTGCAGTCCATCTGAAACAGTAATTAGGCCTTAGTGGCTGTCAATGGGATGCCAGTACTCTGGGACACACTGATGGCAGAATCCTCTGCTGTCTGGCACTGGTGCAAAGCAGAGCAGATACAGCCTGTAGCTTCTCAAGTGAATACCTGCAGACTCTGCCTCAGGAAACCTAACAGCACAGCAGGTAAGAATGAGGAGAAAAGGCAGTCCGAGTGTTGCAGCTCATTAAACACTAATGCCAGAAGCAACAAGTATATTTCCAGTCTGAAATGTTTTTTTAGCAGAATCATTTTTCTAACAATTTAACAATTTGAAATTCTCCCAAGAACTCCTACAAGTGCAATGTAAACTCCCCCCCACCTCCCCATTTTATCATTAATGGTTATAAGTTTCGATCACTAAATATTATTTACTTTTCTCTGAATATATATTCTTTTTTTTTACTATTTAAAAATAAACATACAAGCTTGTCTATAGTCTTTAAAGGAATAGGTTGACATGGAAAACAGGCAGTAGAAAGGCAGGCAATATCTAACAAAGGGCAACATGGTGAAAAGCACATTAAGGTAAAAAAGATATTAAAATGAGGAAAAAAACTTTAAAATCACCACCATCCTGCACTTGGAAGATCAATTTGTTGTGCATCAGCTTAAAACCACAATGAATATCCAATATACCACCCAACATTAAAGCCCAAAAGAGTGTCAGGGAGAGGACTGCAGTGCTTATAGCCTTATTACACATTACCATGGTAAGACTGCACTTGCACTTTTTACAGTGGTTTTATTTCCTCTTTACTGCGTTTTCGTACACTGCACCCTTAGGAAACTCCAGTTCCTTAGTAACTTGCCAGGGTTTCTCTATGGATCTATGTAGTAAAAGCACAGCAGCGGCACATCACAACCACAGGAAACAACAGCACAAGTGTAAAAATACCATGAATTTACTGCAGTAATCTTTCACAAGAGAAGAGGCTGGACCCAAGCTGCTCCAGCCTGAGGCAGGTATTTCTGCCAGCTAAAGACCATCAGAGCTACAGCAGCCACCTTCTTCATCGTCACAGGATGACTGGCTTCAGGGCGCCACAGTGATTAAATGTACAGTAAGTGCAGTTAAATGAATTTAAAGGCGAAGGGGTGTAAGCCCCTGTGCCCTGGCTGAATTCCACCCTGGAATCTGGGTTTGCTCAGTCTGTGGTGTAATTGTTCAGCTCTCCCCCTGATCTGCTGTGCAGTGGGGCTGCTGGTGCAGAATGGCTGCAGTGAGTCACCCAGGACGAACTGCATTTCAATTAGGGGCGAGGTAGGTCCCCCTTTTTATGTGAAACACTTTGGGAAAGGTGCTACATAAATGCAATTAATTAAGGATGTGTGAGAGTGATCTCTGAATTATTTTCTCCTGCCCCGAAACACCTGCTAAGCATTCATCCTGCAGCTCACTCATCTATCGGAAGCCAGGTATACAGCACTAACTGGGTTTCGCCCCCTGTGTTTGTGAAAGCTGAACTCATTTGTTGTCAATGTCGGAAAATCTAAAAAATCCCCCCCCCCCCAAAAAACGAAACCTACCAATAATGGCACAGCGGGAGCAGCCTGTTCCCAGATCCCTGCACCCATGAGTCCCCTCCCTGCGGAATGTGCGTTTGAGCCCAAAGTGCACAGACACAAAAAAGCGATCAAAAACGTTCTTGATACGCACCTCGAGCTACCATTTGGCACTGTTTCAGGTTACTTAGTACAGAAACTATATCTCAGATTGTCAGAAAATTAAAATGAGAAGTTCTAAAAGTACTGAAAGCTGTTAAAAGAAACATGCCGAAAGAACACAATGTACAACCGCGTGTTTTTCTCCCGAGCGCAGCAGGTCGGTCTGCGTGGTCGTGCGAGATGAGCGCTCCTCGTGAGGGGACCGAAGGCAGCTGTGTGGTTTTTTAACTCCAATCACAGAACACAACAACCGAAACACCACCACGTCCAGCTCAGGGGAAAATAAAAATGCTTTCGGAAACGAAGTAGAAAATAATAAAAACGTCTGTCAGGTTTTCTGGGCTCACAGCACATCCAGGAGTGTCGCAGGCACTGCGAATCCTCCTCTCAGGTCTGAGCCTTGGAAGCTAATATCTGAGGGGACAAAGAAACCAGATTTCAAACTATAACAGGTGAGACACAGATATATTTTAGTCCTGAATTACAGCACACTCTGTTTCAAATCAGTTATTTCCTATAGCACCATTAAATTATACCTAAAAAGCTCAGTGAGTCTTAATAAGGAGAAAAACAATTCTAGGTGTGGTTAAGGCAAATTAAACATGAAATGCACCATTATGTTAAAATGTCAACACAAATAATTGTGATTATTAGTGACAGTGCAACACTGCCAAAAACAAGACTAAACAAATTGAATCAACGAAATTAATAAGATCATTCTATCAAGTTTCACCCAGAATCAAGATGGAAAGGATCTCCTGGGGCCAAACCTTCAGATGGAGGCACTGTATCAATTTGCTCAGTTTATCACTTGTCACAGGGGAAACTTTACTGATTTGTTTTTTCTTCGATGTTTTAAGCCTTTTAAGGTTTCAGCCTCATGCACAGGGTTTCCTTTCCTTGGACTGTTTTACTCCTGGTGTTTGTCTACCCCAGTCCTTAATGCTGGAGGATTGGGAGATCACAGGGAAACTGACAGGATTGAATACAGTTATTCTACCGTACTGAGGGCATTAAAACTTGTTTTCCTTTACTGTGCAGCATCTTTTGTAAGATCCGGATCTAAATTCCTGGGATGTACCTGTAGTAGTTGGGCTTGAAGGGCCCATTCTTATTCAGCCCCAGGTACTTGGCCTGCTCATCGCTGAGCTCCGTCAGGTGGGCGTCGAAGGTGGGCAGGTGCAAGCTGGCAACATATTCATCTAAATGCAAACAGACACAAACAGGATTCATGCAGCTAGTCTGCAACACAGGCACTCGTGGCCGGTGATGTAACATTTTACTTAAACCCTTAATTCAATTTAAACCAGAGGCTGGATTAAAAACAAAGGAACCCCTGTGACTATCCAGAACTGGAGTTGCCCCTCCTTCATGTAGATTTTTGCAACCAGTTATTTGATAAAGGTGACACATGTGCACAAGATCATTAAGGTGCATTTTAAGGTGCTTGTCACAAAGTTGAAAGCACAAATAGAGTCTGGCTGAGTAATTGCATTGAAAGAGTCCTGTAGTTAATTTTGTAGGCTTTAACAGATTGAGCAAGAAATTGGTTTCCATAGAAAAGGTCTTACAGTAATATGCAAAATTAAATTAACAAACATAGAACAAAGATCAATGCATATCTGAATTTCTACTCCCTCCATTCTATACAAACATTGTACTGTACAATCCAGTGCTGACGTTCAAACATGCATTGTTGCTTAATGGCCACTGGAGGGCAGAAAATGAGCAGTATGTAAGCACAGTAATGTTAATGCAGCTCTGCGTTGGACACATCATGGCAGGAACTGAGAGAGTGGTTGTTCTGTCAAAATGCTGCAGTTCAAAGGAGTTTGCCAGCTGAAAATGGTTCAACCAGCGCCACTCCTGGAAACAAGTACCTCAGAAGCCTGCACAGTGTAGAGAAGATGCTTGCTTGCATCCCTAGCGGATTCTGGAATTTTATCTGGAACTAGCGAAAGAGTAGCAAGCTGTGGATTGAAGCGAAAAAGCTACAGAATTTGCTCTATGAGCCAATAGCAGGGAAGGGCTGCTCACACACTTGTCACTGTACTCCACACGGCTTTGAAGCCAGAGCCGCATCTCTAACAGCGCGGGATGGCTCTCAGCAGCTTACCCATCTTTTTAGGCAGCAGATAGACGTCCTGCTTGTAGCGGCCCTCCGGAGCGTTGTACAGCTCAATCAGAGCCAGGGCCTGAGCAGAAGGGAGAGAGCTGGGTTAGTGGCCTGTACTCCTCGATGCTGATGTATTCTCTGGGACCCTTGGCAAAGGACACCCAGTCTGTCAGAGCGGGGAAAATACAGGCTGAGCCTCTCCTAAACTCAACTGCTCAGACTGTGCCGGTGTCCCTCCCTGCTGCTGGCTGTGCTGCTCCTGCCCTGTGCACTGCGGTGCTCTGTACTCCACAAGTAAAGCAGAGTTGTGCATTATGATTGGAAGCTGTTGTAAGTCTGGCAGGTGTGGGACTGCTGGTATTAGATTTCTTATTTAAGGGAAAAATGTTTGTTCAGTCTCTGAGTTTTTTTCAGCAGTGCAGCAGAGAGTGCACCTATGTCTCTGCTTCATATTGGGATTCAGACAGCAATGAAAAGAAAAAAATGAGTTCCCTGTAAAAGGATAACAAGGTCAGTGTCTGTCCAGATATGAAATACCTTGTTGTTGTTTCATATCACATGCAGAAACAGGCCCACAACCCTCTGTGAAGAGCTTTGGGATACCGCTGAAATGGCAGCACCTACTAATGCACACTGTGCATGAGTGTCAGCAACAGCTGTGTTGTGAATGTTCCCAAAAGCTGCCTACATTTTACACGGAGCTTTGTGGAAAATTATGCTGCTTAACTTATCAACGCATATTAATGGGCTCAGGACCAGATATTTAACCCTTTGCATTCAGAGCTCTTTTATATGGAGGTGGGGGTCAACTGGGCATGTGTTTCTGTGCTCTCTGTGTTTGATGGATGAGGCTGTGACTTCAGCATTTGGAATACTTTTATTACATCGCAATACCTTGTAACATGGCTCTAAGGGTGAGGCATGAAGAAGAACAGACCTCCAGTATATTCTGACTATGTGCTTTAGCACTGGGTTTAGATTAGCACTCTATATATTTTTTGCTGTAGGTACTTTTATTGCTAGAAACTGGATAATTTCAGGTCACGGATAAGTTTTTCTATGAAGACACGAACAGGGAAAAGTGCCCATTACACACATGAGAAACAAATCCTTCAATTATAGCACCGCAAACCCATTAACAGGCAAAAATCACATCTGTACTTATTATCAGTACAAACTAAGGTAGATACACTTACCTGAGTAGTGGCTGTGATGGACAGAACAAATGTTGGAACTGTGGAGCAGCTAAGGTTTAAGAGACGGCCCTGAAAAAATTAAACATATTTTATTTTAAAAACTCAAAATCACGCAATGGCATTTCTCAGATACACAGTGCTCCACTCCCACAATCATAAACATTTTGCTGATTAAGAGGAGTTTTATGTATGAATCGACATAAGCTAATTTATACCAATAAAAGACAAAAAAGATATATTTCTGGCACGCTTATAATTTTGCTCACTCAGCTGAGGTGACACAGAAGTTCTTGGATAGCACAAATTATCTATTGAATTCACTCTCGTGTGGGACTTCTGGATTGTACTTAATGAACTAATAAAGCTATAAAATGTGAAAATCATAACTGTACAGTACAGGAGCATTTGAATGCTTGCAGTGTCCCAAGTCCTACTGCTCCAAAGATCATAAGGGTAAACCACAAGTGACGATATGTCTGAGAAAAGGAGGTACTTCAAATAAAGGCATCTTGCCTTCTTTTATGGAACTGTTGCATGAGATCCTCAGATCAATTAACTGCTAGTAAAAAACAGCTTGTGAGATGGGCTGAGTAGCTTCCTTGCCTTTGTAACTATTCAAATGTTCTGCTTTGATGTAATGGCTGGCATTTTCCTTGCCCTTCTCCTTGTGCAGGGCAGGTGTGGCTGTGTGCAGTTAATACAAGTAGGAATGGAAAGCTTCTGCCTTCTGTTCATCTAAGACTTCCACATGTCCAATAAATCGCTGTTTCTAATTCAAATGTATTTGGCTGATGCTTTAATTCACATGGAATTTATATTTGTACCCGATTCTATAACTGGGAATTTACTGGAGAAGCCTCAGCAAAGCATCTTACTCAAGGGTACAACAGCAGTCTCCCCCCCCCCAGTCTGAAATTACAACTTTCCAGCTACAATACCTGTATTTATAAAGAGCCTTTCATTGATAGCTCTGCACAATACAGTACATGTTCAGTGATAAAAGAAATCTGAGACCTAGTAGAGCAGGTTTTCTAGGTCTCTTTAACTCGTTACCAGCTTGATCCTTTAAAAGCAGAATTAAACTGTTCTCTACTTATAACTACTGAAATGGGAGCCAAACAAAACTTTTTTTTTTCTTTTTGTTATTTCTGTTGTGAATGAATGGCTGACTGTGACGTCAGTTTGATACGATGCAGTTTTCCTTGTTTTCTGAACACTGTCAGGAGTCTGAAATCTGCATGACGTGGGGTTCCTGGTCCTACAATTCCCTAATTGGGGGGTGTTACAGGAGCTGGGTGAACTGGGACAAACTCTGCACCTCCTTCTACCCCTCCACTAGGGGGCCTCGCCTCATACCTCAGCTAGCAGCACCACTCTTTTGCCATCGGGCCAGATGACGTGATCCACCTGTGAGCGCACCCTCTCCCAGGTCAGCTCTGGGGTCCGGAGGCTGGCCTGCAAGAACAGAACTGTCAGGACCTCTGCAGCCTGCTCTGCATCAGCCGCGCACCATGCGGGGTGACGCTTCCTGACCTCTCACCTGTAGAGATACTGTCCTTTGTCATTTGGTTTAGAGCCAAGTTTTCAGTATTAAAGACAATAACATTACACAATTTTACAGTGTTTCAAAAGGAGGAATGGCTTTAAGAACTCCCAGCACACAGGAGTCTTATCTTCAAAGCGGGATGAAACAAGTCAAAGTTTTGCAATATAAAATGACCTTGTTCCCCCACACAGTTTAATTTTCGAGGCTTTGAAGAGTAAATGACATATGGAGTCTCTGTGTCAGAGGGATGCTGTCCAGCATGAGAAGGTCTCTAGCTCAGAGACTGAAATGAGCCTCAGGCCAGGTGTAAAGTCTGAATGAGAGCCTTTGCAGTAGTGTGCATAATATGCATAGTGGGCAGAGTCACTGCTGTCTTTGTAACTTTACTCACCACATCAATCTCGGTGTTGGAGTGCCCCATGTTGCACACAATACATCCATTCTTCATGCGGTCCAGCTGATCCCTGGTAACAACGTTTTTATTCCCTGAGGTGAGTACGGAAGAATGAGAGATTATGGAAGCAAGTCTGTTAAGGTAAACGCAGATTTAATCCCATAATAAGCTTTTCCTGAACTGCTGTGATACATGCAACCACATCATAAAACCAAAAAATTGCAACACTCATCACAAATTGTGTAAGTGAGATCTATTTCTTCTTCAAAGGTTACAAAATGTCTTTTGACAAACCTACAATCACGCAAACACACATACAGTATGTACAGTATATTAAAGTACTTTTTGTTTATTTACAGAATGAGATTAATGTCAAAAGGACATCCTGGTGTGTTCAACAAAGTAAAAATAACACAAAATCAAAAGGAAAACAGTTAAAACACTACCGTATATTTCTCGTAAAACATTTCAGATTACTGCCTGAAAAAACGCAATATACAGTTTAAAATCCACTAAAAATTTAGACTTGAAAACTCTTAGAGCTTGTCAAATGTCACAAGGGAGAGAGCTCAAGATATTTGGGAACAGACACTTTAAGCTTGATCCCCAAGCAGCCTCCTTTTAGCTGACGCGATGACTAATAAGCCCTACTCAAAGGAAGCACCAGGGACCAGCAAGAAGGGTTTGGATTATGAAAGCACCTCAGACCATAGTTAGAAATGTAATATCTGCACAGGAGCAGGCGAGGGGCCAGTAAAGACAGCAAAGCAGCTGAGTAATGCGGCTCACAGTCTGAAATTAATCTGACAGCACCATTCTGAACGCCCTGCTGCACTGACAAGAGCTTTCCACAGGAGTCCAGCAAGTATAGAATAACAGCAGCCAAGTCCATAGAGTAGTCATGACCACAGAGCAAGCTCATCTGTGGAAGTGATCATCAGGGACACAGGAGGCGTGAAGCATTGTAAAGGTGAATGAAAACAGAACTTCATCACCTGGTTGATTTGAGACTACATTAAGTCCTGGAATTGCTCTAAGAACCCCTGACTTCAACACATGTGGTTTAACTGTCAATCAAATACGTTTCTCACCTTTAGTATACATTTTAAAACACGTGTCCTGGAATATTTATTTAGCATAAAAAATGACTGGTTTGCGAGGTGTGTCAGTGCGTGTTCTTGCTCTGTGGTCCTGAATTACCTGTACAGGTGATGACCACATCCACCTGGCGGATGACTTCATTCAGTTTGACCACTCTGAACCCGTCCATACTGCAACAAGACAGTGATTGAAAACTTAGCAAGAAATAGAAACCATAAATGTATCATTTTAAAATGCAGCAATCCTAATAAAGCTTCTGATCCCACTTGAAAGTTATGTTTTCAGATTTTCTGAATTTATGGATGAACAGAAAGTCTCCAAACACAATATCAGGGTGACTGTGGTAGGGATGCTTGTATTGAAGGTCAGCCTATCACACATTTCCCATTTAGAATCTTTTTGGAAAATCCTTTTGGAATTTTTCTGTTTTTAATCAGTCCACAGATGAGGCATTTTTAGTCAGGCAGAAAGAGGAGCATGCTGTCACTTCATTCTAGCTGCAGTTTTTTCATCATTTCAAAGAAGGCCAAAACAGTAAAACAGTTTCCTGCATGCATTTTCAGCATTATTGAATATATAGTATATGACTGCAGTCTGTAAGTCAATGCAGAAAACACACACAGCTAGCAGCCAGTCAACTGCATGTGTGTCACCAGCTGAAGAGGTCAGATAGTGCTATCCAAGATGTGAGAGAGGACCTTCTGAATTAAAATCTGGGACTATAAAAGAGCCTTGTTTGCCACAGCCATTCTCATGTACAGTACATGGAGATAGTCAACTGGATGGACTTGCAATGTCATTATGACCACCAGAACTGCTGCTCCCTTAATGGGTACATCTGAGTTAAAATACACATTTAGTTTTTTATCCCTGGGATAGATTTGGGGTTAGGGGACGTCTGACGGTTAAAGCTGAGGTTAAGATTAAGGTAAACCCTGAGGTTAGACTAAGGTTTGGCATTGGCATTAGGATCAATATAAGGGCTCAGGCTGGGGTTAAGGTAGCAGCAGTGCAGATGGTGAGCTCACAGCCTCCTAGTGCCCTGTCCGAGAGGGTACTGACACGCAGCTTACCAGGCCTGCAGGGCACAGATGGGATCGATCTCCGTGATGTAGACGATGGCCCCCAGAGCCTTCAGAGCGGCACAGCAGCCCTTCCCAACCTGCAACACACAGCCATGCCAAACTCCTGGGTGACACCAGGCAGCAATACTCAACCTCTTTAAGCTAAACTTGAGTTTGGTCAAGCAGCAAACAAGACTTGCTGAATTATCCATCTTACGTATTCATCATTCTTAGCCTCTGACTTACAGAAATACCTAGAAGCAACAGAGCAAAACATATGTACTGTGTTTTCCAAAATTTCCTAACGTGGTGTATGGGCACAAGATGTTAATAGCATTGTATACATTCCGCACCCGAAAAGATTGGATTGCTAGTGACAAAAATTCCTGCCAAGATCTTTCTCATAAACAACATGGAGAAGATCACAGCTCTTTCTCATAAACAACATGGAGAAGATCACAGCTGTCTCAGAACTGAGCAATAACAAGAGGGCATTTCAAAGCTGTTACAGCAATCCAGATATAAATTAGTTTCTTGGCTTTGCAGCAGCTTTCTTCTAAAAGGAAAGAATCTGACAAAGTTGGATTGAAAACTCAGGATGAAGTGTTTTTAAACTGAGGACATGAAGCACTGTTTTGTTGGTGATTTAAAAAATTAAGTTCATTTCTTTGAGTTTTGTTTCTGGCTTTGGTTGTAAAAAGGTTTAAAATGAACTTTGGAGATAAAATGTATTATGAACATGTTTCATTATCCATGTTAACAGACACAAGGAAGCTCACCTCTCCATATCCACAGACAACAACTTGCTTTCCCCCAAACATCACATCTGTGGTCCTCTTCAAGCTATGAGACAAAAAACACTGTCAATGACCAAAACTCCTTAGTGAGGAATCAGTCACCCCTGTAGTGAGCCTATTGAGAGTTGGTTACCCCCTAGTGAGAAATCAGTCACCCCTATACTGAGGCTATCGAGAGCTGGTCACTCCCTAGTGAGGAA